CATAAAAGTGTGCTTTTATAATTAAACACCCCATTTTCCCCCCAATCCCTTCCTATCTATTATACCCATAGCATACCTCAGCGCAGACCTGCTCCCTTTTTACTTGTAGTTGTGCACTGGATCACAGGTGGCTGGATAAAAACAAACATAAGTAATACCCAGCACAGTGGAGAGCTGGGCAGAGTACAGCGGGACGGCATGCATCTGAGATCTGTGTTTTTTAATATAAAGATACCGTGTTTCCCCGAAAATAAGACAGTGTCTTATTTATTTTTTTTCCCGAAAAAAGACACTAGGTCTTATTTTCGGGGGATGTCTTACCTGGCTGCTGCTGTCCGCTCTGCCGTCCAGGGAGCCACAAACAGGTGGGCGGGCATGTGTGCGGGCGGGGGGGCGTGTCTGGCAGGGGGGCGGAGATGTCTGTAATATAAGACCTACCCCGAACTAAGTCTTATTTTCGGGGTAGGTCTTATATTACAGAAATCCCCGAAGATAGCATTAGGTCTTATTTTTGGGGTTAGGTCTTACTTTCGGGGAAACACGGTAGGAGAGAGGTGGTGAAACCTGTATAGGGCCTTAAGAGTGTTTCCGCTGTGGAGATTTCCCTTCCTGGTAACATCCTATCACACAGTGGTGTTCGTGAAGTGAGAGGAAGCCTCCTCAATACGGTTACAAACAGCAGTGGCAACCTTCCATTTGTTCTAAACCTTCCTCACGCCATCAAAAACCAAAACAAAAAGGTTTGGCTGAAGCAAGGCCAAATGAGAGTGACCTACTTTTATTAAACTCTGACTCAAAAGGCATACCTGCTAAGAAAAGGGTCTTTAAGAGCTACGCTGCCTGAGAATTTTTCAGCATTCAATACTTCTGGGGGTGTAAGGTGCCTGGTCACTCTCTGTGTGCTGTGTTTCCTTCCTCCGACCGCCAATGACACTAAAGCAGTGGTTCTCAACCTGTGTAACCTCAAGACCCACATTTGTCCTCGGTCATTAAGTCGCGACCCAAGTCGCACCGCAGTGGAACGTAGGGCAGTTTGGGCTGCTGTGCTGTGATGGAGATCCATCCATATGTGCATTGCTTGTACAGCTCCCATGCGCACCTGTAGAGGTGCCAGGAGCCAGAATGTGACGTCTCTCCGGTCCAGGCACCTCTATAGGACATGTGAGGAAGCTATAAGCAATGCACATATGGATGGATCTCCCTCGTGGCCATACCCCCAGCCCACCCTACCTCAAGTTGACACTTGGCACCGGGCAGCATATTTTGAATAGCTGCTTGGTGTGAGAATGGTCGGTGCTGCGCTAGGTGGAGGCTGAGGAGCCTCTCACCTAGAAAAGTGGAAGGCATGCAGCGACACACTAAACATGGGACTTAATCCTCCTGACCGGACAAAAACACAAATCCAACTGGGTGGGTACGGTGGTGACAACGGATGCCTCTGTGAAATGTAGATAGATTAAAGTAGTCACTCGCACTCCATGATATTAAAGTCAATGCTGTTTATTGACTGAGATAACACACATCTCCTTAGCTAAGGAGGTGCGTTATCTCAGTCAATAAACAGCATTGACTTTAATATCATGGAGTGCGAGTGACTACTTTAATCTATCTACACTAAACATGGGGTCGTGACCCAATTTTGGGTCAAGACCCACCAGTTGAGAACCAAGGCACTAAAGGATAACGTTCCATTATGTTGGTGGGAAGAATAGGGCCTAATTAAGGCAATCAAAGGGCAACATAGTGCCTGTGGGCTCCAGTTTGAGGACTACACAGGGCTCCACAGAAGACTTTAAGTAGCTCAATGGAATAGGAATTCACTTATAAACAGATGGACAAATGGCTCCCAATGGAGCAACCTATACAAGAAGCAAGTAGTAGGAATCAATATTCCATGGTGGCACCATGCTCCATTCATGTGCAATCGATCCCTACAGGATGCCAACTCGTGTGTAGTTCTAGCCTACTGAAGTGGCTTCCAGCAAGTAGTTACAGAAACCATTAAGCGGTTTGTATTTTGGACATCTCTAATGATTTAGGTTGTCTCAGACATTAAACTGTATACTTTTTTTTAAAATAAAAACGGCATCACATACATACAAAACTCCTTTTGGTGTCTGGCTAGCTGCTGGGATGACTACTGAAATAAAATTAGAGATGTCAAGGAACCAATGCTGTGCTCTTCCAAGAAGACTAGTATGAAATAAGAGCTGTTGCCCATCTGCAATCCATTAGCTTTCAAATGAGCCATCTGGCTACTACTACAACAGCCTACTTTAAAAGCTCAATGGGTTAAGGATTATTCTTACACCACAATGACTTTTTCCCAGTTTATCAAAGGGATAAATTCCGTCTAAGCTTCTCTATCTACCAGGTCCTTAACCTGAAACAAGTATGCAAGATAGGGGTTCAGACATTACTGGCTACATACTAATTTTAGGTCAGTGATGGAGAAGGTAGTGAAGCCAGAATAGGCCTTTAAACAATTGGTGGATCAAGGACAGTAGAGTATAAAACTGGGAAGAGGGGCTGAGGGCTTGAAAATGGATGTGATGCCACCGCCACCACCTTAAAGCTGAACTTGAGACCGTTATAAAAAAAGACACAAATTGTACTTCTGTATTCATTAATACACCATTAACTGTATTACCTAAAATGGAAGTCGTGTAAGAACCTCATCTTGATCTGGTATTAGCCATTTGTGGTCCCTGTACCACTCAGCTCAGGAAAAGTAGAACAAGGCTCCAATCAGCTTTGTTGCAGTACTCATGTGCTAACAATGGGCATGCTAATAGGACGAGAGAGTAAAGTGACAGACAGACGAGCTCATCAGTATTTGTCTTCTCCCTTACTATCCATCACAAGCTGTGAAAGGGACTAGACCTATACGTGTCACTTAACTGCAGCAGAAAGAAATCAGGTCTGCCACCAGGCAGGGCTGTGCTGTGTAGAAGAGCTGTGTAAATGTAAGGACTTGATGTAGAGAAAAAGTAATCCACTGGCAGGTAAAACTGCTACCATATATATATATATTTAATGTATGTACTTGGCTGTCTGATGTTCAGCTGTTATAAAAAGTAAACTTATTCTCTAACTTCCCTCCAAGGGAGGCTATAGAAAGTCAAGCTCATACTGTATATTTAAAGTAATCCTGCCATTAAAAATAAAATTGGCAACAGGCATACCTGCAGAAGAAGAGAGCAAAATACTCACCTTTCCTGCAGTCCGTGCTCCATTAAGGAGAAACCCTCCACTGAAGTCCACTAGGAAACGGACACTTCCAGGAGTGTTGATCTTCTTGGTCCATCACAGCCCACGCTGTTTCCTCCCACATTACTACGGTGTTCTGTATGGACGTTGAGGTCAGAGGCAGGTACCACTGAGCTCTGTATGGGACCCAGAAGGTTGACACGCACAGAGTTTCAGTTTCCCATTCGACTTCATATTAGGGTAGCATCATTTTGGAGGCATGGGTGGTAGATATGTACCCCATCTTCTTTTGCAGGTATGCCTATTTGCCAATTTTTAATGACAAGGTTGGTTTTAAGAATACATAATTTTATTATGTGCAGCTCTAACAAAGTTATGGGCAAGCCAGGGCTGGACAAATCCCACAAGCTAGGTAGCCAAAGCGGCTTAAAAATGACAGCTGGCGCCCAACTTTTGAGGTTTTCAGCCATGAAATGAAAGAGGGTTGTTAGGTGATTTGCGGCCCTATATTTAGCAACTTCCACTGGAGAGCCAAGGGCTGTGTACAATCTGAACCCTCATCTGAAATGAAACAGATGGAGACACACTGGTTTGATAGGAGACCTGTACTAAAAACAATATGGAGACTTGGATTCCCGACGTCTCTTGTATGGTTTGTAGATCTAATGGCCTCTATGCTTTCTAGATGGCTGTCCTAGAACAAGTATGGATGTCAGGATAGTGATTGTTTTGCTGTGTGCTTGGTTTTTGGTTACTATGTATAGCAGCAGCATGACTGGCAAGCACAAACATGACTGGCAGGCACAAACATGCTAGAAGGTCAACAGTTGAAGCTCCTTTAATTTAGCACAGGTTTCCTATAAGCAGAGGGTGCTTTCAAACAGTATTGTGACTATATGCGGCAGCATCCTTTCCAACAACCCGCTTTTGGGGTCAGTTTTACCACAGAGCTTGACACCTACCTGACCAAGTCCGTGGATGCAAAAGAGCCCTTCATTAACACTAATGGGGAAAATAGGCTTCAATACACACGGAACAATCAGATCACTCAAATAGACACAATGATGCAACTGTATGAAATTTGTATCACTCGATGTGCATCCAGCATAGACCTGCACTGTGTGTATACCCCAACCTTGAGCATAGGGTCTCCTGCACCACTGATGACCATAACAACATTGATCTAGCGGGCACTAAGCTTTATGGGCTTGCCGCACACAGACATTGAGGCCTAGTATGCCTTGTATCAACAATGTCTTTAGCAACTACATTTCCAGCAGTTGTTCCTCCAGTACAGGTTGAAAATACAACTGGAAACCAGTTGACTTCAATGGTATCAACTCAATTTAAATACCAAACCATTTGTTATTTCAGAACTGGTACGTAATCAGTCCAAGTGTGTCTAAGCAAATTGGAACACCAACATCGTTAACATAAAAAAAAAAAAAAAAAAAAAAAAAAAAAAAAAAAAAGGAACTGAAAATTCTGTTTTATTAAAACTTAAATTTAATCTCTAGAACAATTTGGATCTCCATGCACCAGAGTTAGAGCAGGAGGACGGCCAAGTGATGATGTCACCAGTGATACAACTTATGACATCACAGTTACTGGAAGCTATGCTGCATATAAGAGTAGACAAGTGAAGGGCTTGGGTGGGGTGGGGACAAAGGCTGTTAGAGAGCAGGAAGGGGTAAAGCCAGGATACACACTCGGGTCTAATTGCAGGCTGGTGATGATGCAATGTGATGTCATCAGTGATGGCAAAAAAAACAGGCACATAGGTTTCTTACCGTCTGTATCGGTGTCCTGGTGCCATGTTGGAAATGGGGGCAGTGGACGACCGGGTGAGCGGGCTAGCAGTCGAGCAAGGACATGGATGGGAGACACTGTGAGCTCCCAGTTGGTGATACCAAAGTCTCGTAGGTGGGCACGGGCGTGACTGGAGAGGCCGGCACGAGTGTCGAAACCAGCACCACAGAATTCACACCGCATCAGGCTGAAGGTACTGGGGTCAAAGTTCGCCACTGCAGAGGGGGAAATTAGATCACCTGGTGTCCTGTGCTTTTTCAAAATTGCTCACCCGGCCTCCTTTGCTAGTACTCCCAAGCTCAGTTAAAAACAGTGCTGCCTAATTTTGTCTCACTCGAGGGTTTATTCAATAAAACAGTGCAATGAGCAAACCTACGGTCAGAATCCAGGTTGTACTGTTATTGTTTCAACAAAGTGACGCCCGATTGGCTGCAGTTCAGATCACTGGACTTTGTTCCTTGCACTGTTTATAACGTAAGCCCACTGGTCTTCTATACTAATACCTGGCTCACATTTCTTATCCCAAACTGAGTTACATTATTTAGGCTGCAGCATATGTTTCTTTTCCTAGATTCCCCATCCCGCCCAACAAGAATGAACATACGTGGGCATCTAGGTAAATAATTCTAATCTGGCAATAATAAACAGGAAACTCAAGGTCTACTTTGATCACATTTATAGTGTATGCAGTTATCCAATGACCACTTCTATTTCTCTATGCAGAAGTCCACCTTGGGCAATGAACATCCACATTTCCCAGCATTTGAATCAGTCCATTAGGAGTTACACTTGTCAGGCGGCTTACAAAAAACGCCATTGGTGCCGCTTTCCGTATAAGGCCAATTGTCGCAGGACATTCTACTGGTCTTTGCACGCAACTGCCTTCTCCTGAAAACGATAGCTCATTGGTTATATGGGGCTTCTATACTCGTGAGCCATGTAGGATATGCAAGTCAACAAGTGTGAACTCCTTATATCTCTACTTATTAAGCGTCAGTGACTCAAAGTATGGAAACCATTGGATCAGAATGACAGACAAGCAGCTAGCAATTCCAGAAGAGGTCAGCAATGCCACTCCTAAATGTTTATTTCAGACAAGTTCTTTTTCATATAGGGACTCTATGGAGAAGTATTAGGGGGGATATAAGAGCAGAAGAATGGCCCACCAACAATAATTTATAAAATATGGCCGTGCTGTGAGCAGAACACATCTTAAAAGGAAACACATGCTGGCAGCATGACTAAGCACACAGAGCCTTGATTTATAGAGCTTTCCTAGTTTCTTCCCTTAACAACCCAGCTCACCATCTGCAATTTCATAATGTTCATCCCAGCCTCTCCTGCCATTAAGTGTAAGGCCCTATGCATATGGGTAAATAAGCACCTGATAAGAGAGGCAGCTTGATACCTGATGCAATGCTAAAGAAGAACTCCTTTAAGAATAACTAGAACTTTTTACATGTTTTTTTAATACTAGTCCTAATGGTCAGCTTGTGCTTTGCTTTTTACTCCTCCATGCTTTTAATTCTCATGTCAATATGACTTCAAATGCACCAAAATGCATCTCAAATGCTACGGTACACCATCCCTAAATTTTATAAACAGCTTATTTCTATGGCTAGGTTCACACCTAGGCGATTTAGCCACACGATACTGCACAAAAGAGAGATTTGCATTCAAGTCTATGGAAGCTGTTCACACCTTTGCGATTTGTCACGCTGTAGAAATCGTCTGTCGCACAAAAAAGGTGCAGGAGCTATTTTCGGGCGGTTGTCGTGCGGATTGGGTCTCATAGACATCTCCATGCACTGAAAGGCGCACTGTTTTCAAAAGCAAAATTGCGTAAACAAAAACGCGTGCAACACCACAAAAGCAGCTCACCAGCTCAATCCTCTAGGTGTGAACCTAGCCTAATGCTATATGTACATGGGCGTACTTGTATTTGGTCATTAGATCTCTGCTTTTTGTCGATTCTTATACCTCACTAAGGTCTGTACAAATAAACTCTCTGCCGTCTCTAATATTGTCAGACGGCTATGAAGCCCCTGGTAGCCAGACACCTCGTCACCTTTGCCTAGAGCCCTAGACTATAAGTGGCACGATGAAGCTCAGTTCATCGTTTATTAGAATTGATGTAAAAATGTTACGCAATTTGGTAACGTTGTCCTACTGATTCCTGTGTATGCGATTTTAAATAACAGCACTAGTTACATCTACATTGATAAGACACTCCCGCTTTAAAACATTTCACGCCTCTAACAGGTGGGGGGCAATTAAAAAATATAAGAGCCAAGTGCTGCCAATCTTCCTCCTCAGAAAGTCAAAAGTTTGGAGTTTAAGTGATAACCTTTTGGCCTATTAGTCAACTTAATAAAGGATGTAAGCTTTTGGGATGCATTAAATCCCTTCATCAAGTTTTATACAATGCTGAAAATGGTTCTGAAACCTACATATTTATGCAAAGAGTAAGAAAAAGCTTTGAAAAAATACAACTATTGTTTTCTTGACACACTCTAGTAGTGTCAAGAAAAAGAGAGATCAGGGTTGGGCTAATGGACTCAGATCAGGATTACAGGTACAATTCTCACCTCAAATGGTCCTTTTGAAGAAAAGACCATAAAAGCACATACAACTTTTATCACTTGAAACTTGTCACCTCTTTAAGGACGAAATTTTTTTTGAAATTTCTTTCCTTTTGATCAAAAGCTTGAGGAAAACTGGCTTTTTAAAAACAATTTCCAAGAGTATTGGGAAATTTGAAGTTTCTCACAATAATTGATGCCCTGGCCTCTGCTGCTGAAACGGGCCGCAACAAGGACATCTGTTTTGTTCATTGTGAATCTATGAAGGTTCATTAATTGAAGGGTTTGACCCATCCCCCCAACAGAGTCCTGTAGGACCACATTTAAAGAACTTCAGCAAAAGAAACCCTGTATTCTGTTCTCCAGCTGGGATCCGATGATGTTACCCTATCGGTGCTGCAGGTTTCGCATCTCATCTGCATGCAGGGAGATGTTCCATTTGGTATTGAGCTGTTTAGGGAACTTCTCACAATAAGGTGTCTTCCATTGGGTGGTTCTCAATACTAGGATACCGGAATATTTCTCAAAGTCTTTTGCCTTTGTGCAGAAGAGGCTGCAGATTTTTTTGTGATCCTTCTTAGAACTACTAAGGTTAGGCTGTAGGTTACCACCAATGGGACCAGATTCTCCTTTTCTGTCTGTTTTTATATTCTGACTGGTTCCAGAGATGTTAATTGCTTTCCAAGATCTGTGTGTTGGTTGTCACTGGATTACCGTATTTTTCGCTCCATAAGACACACTTTTTTCCCCCCAAAAGGAGGGGGGAAATGTGCCTGCGTCTTATGGAGCGAAGCCCGCCGCCCGAGACATGCAGTTTCGGGCGCCAGGCGAGTAGTAGGCGCCCTTACTTGTTTAACACAAGTGATCTAATGAGATTTGTTTTATTGCAATGATAATGATGGCTGAAGGACAGCCCTTAACATTACCCACAATCCAGATGAATGGAGATTGTTCATAGATTCATCTAAAATGAGTCTAAAAGCTGTTTTATTGCACAATAGCAATGTTTTGCCATCCGTTCCTGTCGGGCATGCAGTCCACATGAAAGAAACATACCAAAATCTGAAACAGCTGCTGAGGTGTATAAAGTATGAGGAACATCAGTGGCAGCTCTGTGGTAATTTGAAAGTTGTTTCCCTGTTGCTTGGCCTGCAGTGTGGATACACAAAGCACTGCTGCTTCCTCTGTGAATGGGACAGTCGAGCCGGAGATTCTCATTATGTCAAGAAAGACTGGCAAGAGAAAAGCCAAATAGCGCAGTTTAGATACCGAATAAAGATGGAACCTTGGCGTTTAATCTGATGTTAGAGCCCGTCAGTTTTTCATGCAAAAAGCATGAAAAAGTTACATGAAAAAACAATAAATGAATGGAAAGTTATGCTATATATATATATATATATGTATATATACACATTTATAATGATTGATATGGCACTGTTCTCATTGCTGTATCATATTTTGCAGAAAAGTTATGCTGCGTAATCGCACATCCACTTCCTAATTTTGAATTATTTTGATGCAATTTTGACTTGAAGCTGTATCTTGGAAACTAGAGCCAATTAATACTCAGGACTTAATTTTTCTTTATTAGTGACCCAATTCTGGTAAAATTTAGCTACTTTCCTTTCTGAGGTTTTCTCCTTGTAGACCAGTGTAATCAATGAAGCACGGGGCATGTAGATAGGTAGCCATAAAAAAGATTTGCATATTTTTACATAAATTTGCAGATTTGTATGGGGAAAACCGTGATCCTATGTCCACTCCCATCTGCTACAAGTAAAAGGTCCTGGCAAAGAGAAAAGTAGTTATGGGTAAGGATAAATTGTATCAGCTAGGTAAATGGTTCAGCAGGTTGGTCCACTGTCGGAAGATACTACAGGAAGGCTACAACACCATCATCATGGGGAATGTTGATATATAAAAGGACTCCACCTCCAGTTGATTTCTTGTAAAAACTCAATAAAACTTATTTGAAACAAAAAATATAAAGGACTCCACATCCATGGTGACTAGGATGGCTTCTGTTTACCTCAAGCCTTTGATCAAAAGGATGGACATTCCAAATGAACTCTCGCCATCAATGGTGACAATAGCTGTATTTCATTGCTTCTATGGTCATTTCAAAAGCTCTCAAGTTAGCCAATAAAAAGGTATCACATAAAACTCCAGAGTTTCTTCATGCATTGATGGCCAGCAATACTCTACTACTGCTCCTCAGAATGTCAGAACTATCAATGGTGGGAGCAAGAGCAGACATGCATACCTCCCTCTAATTCCCAATGACCCTACAGTAGAAAGAGGACAGACCTAATTATTTTAGCAGTCTGACTTTAAAATAACAGCCTTTCCAGTTACAGAAACAGACCAAATACAGTGGTACCTCGGCTCACGAAAGTCGTTCCACGATTCTGGTTGCGAACCGAATCAAACTGTGATCAGTCCACGATCTCGACTAGAGGAAGCAGGGAAGATAGCTGCGGTTGTGTTAGTCACCAGATGTGGAGTAGAATAGAAGCGAATAGAAGCAAAATTTTGCCGAACTTCCTGTTCACGAACAGAAGTGTTCGTGAACCGAGGTATCACTGTAATGGGTTTGAAGAAACAAAAAAGGAAGGGACCCGAAGTGCCACAAG